TCATATTTGTTGAAAGCTGGATTCTGCATGGCTTCGTCTATGATTTTGATCATCTTGTAATGCAGATAACCATCACAACAAGTATTTCCTTGAGAAATATTTAATATTCCACATATTTTATGTCATGGAACGGTCTTTTCAATGATGGCGAGTTGACATAGGGAACCCAAGATGATAAGAGCTTGTAATGACAAAAATTAAATTTATTCAAATTTAACATTTACATCAACGGTCTCGAAGCAAGCCAAGACCTTTTTATCCGAATAATATACAAATAGAAGAAGAAGTGATAATACAGATAAGAACAATGATTAGAAATCAGCATCAAGAGCGAACTGCCGTTCCTCCTCAGAATTAAGTACACCAGTTCTTTGGTATTCAGAAACTCTCTTCTCGAAGAAATTTGTTTTTCCCTCGATGGAAATGTTCTCCATGAAGTCGAAGGGATTACTGACTTTGTACAACTGAAATATGAATATAAGGATGTGAAATGAATTGAAAACTAACCTTATCATAATTTAATTCAACTAAGAGATGATCAGCAACAAACTCAATGTATTGGGACATGAGACGGCAGTTCATTCCAATCATATCACAGGGTAGTGACTCGGTCAAATATTCCTGAAATCAGCTCTACTTATTGCCGCATAGTTTTGATAAACCTGTTCAATGTTAACAGCATCCTTGATGATAGCATGAACTTCTTCTTGTGAGAGTTTATGTACAATATGACTATACATCAGGCAGGCGAAATCTCTATGAAGACCTTCATCTCTAAAACAATCAGAATATATTCAGATGTAATTATCAATTCAAACCTAGAGATCAATTCATTGGAGTGAGTCAATCCTGGCATGAGTCCTCTCTTCTTTAGCCAGAAAATGGCTGCGAAAGAGCCGGAGAAGAAGATTCCTTCAACAGCAGCGAAAGCAATTACTCTTTCAGCGAAGGTAGCCTTCTCATCAGCGATCCATCGTAATGCCCAATCGGCCTTCTTCTTGATGCATGAGAACTCGAAAATTGCGTTGAATAGGCGGTTTCTTAATTTTAGTTGATTAATTCCAAAATTAAAGTTGGGACATACTTCTCGACCTCATCTCTAATGTAAGTTTCAATCAATTTACTGTACATGTGTGAGTGAATATTTTCAATTGCTATTTGGAATCCGTAAAAGAATCGAGCTTCTGGGATCTGTACTTCTTGTGAGAAGCGTTCAACCTGTAGGAAAAAGATTCTCATATTTTTCAAGATCATATCTCCTAACCAAATTTTCGTTTACGATTCCATCGGAAGCCGCGAAGAAAGCAAGTACTCTCGATACGAAGAACTTTTCATTGTCGGTCATTTTCTCCCAATCATTCATGTCCTTTCCAAGATCAATCTGAATTTTTTGATGAAACCACAGCGCAAGATAAGATAACGAATACGTGCAGAGAAAAAAATATTTTACCTCTTCCACAGTCCAGAAAGAGGCTACTGCTTTTTGATAGAAAGCCCATATATCAGGATACTTAAGTGGGAAGATGACAAATCTATTTGGGTTCTCCTTGAGAAGGGGTTCTTCTTTTTGAAGAGAAAGCTTCCTGAGCTAAACAATATTTTGGTAATGACTTTCATATTTTAAACGTACAGCTTCATCGACGACAACAACTGATTCGGTCTTTATAGCTTCAGATTTGATCACGTGGTCGCCAGTGCCCATTTGCTAAAGTGAAAGAGTTATAATGTGCTCCCTTGCCAACGAAGCAGCTTAGCATCGTAAAACCAGGATAGACCAAAACATGTTCAAAAATTTCGAATTTTATTTTTTGCACGAAATATAGTTAAAATCTTACTCTTTTGCCGATGGCGTTTTCGTCGTTCTGGATCTCAGTGAGAGTCATGTTAGCTTCTGGTTAGTATCTGTAAAGGTACTTGTATGTAGCTAATCATCATTAAGTCGAACGAAGCACATAAGAATTTGAAAAGTAAACACATGACTTCAAAACAGAGTTGAAGAAGCCACCTTATATACCCATAAGGCAATTGTTGGCCGATATTCATTCATGGAGATGTCATGAATGAAGGAAGCAAATTTTTATCTCCCGCCATTTCGTTTTCGCGCCAATTTTTTGAACACCATCTGGACCAATGACAAAGAGAACATAATTTTTACGTTTTTTGCTCAACGGTTCACGTGAACGTTGGTTGGGTTGTCTGATAAAGCTCATTTAAACTCTTAAACTTGCCCTAAACTGATGGAAACGTACAGAACATTTTAATGTAATTTTGAAGGATGAGCCAGAACAACAAGGTTGAAGATCTTCGTTTACCATTATCGGTTATTGGGCGAATAGTGAAAGACGCACTACCTTCCAATGCTTCACTCTCGAAGGTTTGTTTCCATTGTAACTATGTTAAAGAGTTAGGTTTTTAAGGATGCACGCATTGCCATATCCCGAGCTGCTGCTGTTTTCGTTGTTCACCTCACTAATTATGCCAATGATTATGCATCTGCTAAGAAACGGAAAACGTTGACAGCTGAAGATGTCATGCAAGCCATCAAGTTAGTAGATTGTGAAAACATTGAAAAGCCTGTAAGCCATATTCATGTCTTTCACGAAGTTTACTGTTACCCTTATAGTTGAAAGAGGCTATTGAGTTGTGGAAGTTAGTGAAACTACAAAAATCAGAGGAAGCCAAGAAAAGAAAGGCTGAGAAATTAGCGGAGAAACAGAAAGCAGGTAATGACTAGTTCACTTTTAAAGTATAAGCCCTTTGCGTTCAAGCTGACGAGAGTTTGGAAATGACGAGTGCTGATGAGACAGAAGACTCTCAAATAGAAGATGAAGATGAAATTACGGACACAATTCCACTACAAGGTTAGTCAGAACAGTTATGATGTCAAACACTTGAATACATATTGCAGAAGATTCAGTTAGAGATATTGAAGACTTATAATGGCCCTGTAAATGCAACTTAACACTTTCTTAAATTAAGATTCATCTTGTAACATTTCGAGTGAATGAATACGGGTATTCTCACCATATCTTCTACAGTTATTGAAATAACAGTTGAATGCACTTTATTAGTATCTTCTGGATAGCATAAGTAAAGAAGGTTCACAAAACTATTTGTTGTGAGGAAGCATACATTGAACAGGAGATAAGAAACAATTGGAGAAGTCATCGTCGATACTTCTTCTGTCCACCTCACTACGTTTTTCAGCTCTTTTAATTTCTATTCCAGACCCACGGTTCCTTAAATAATGAAAATTACTAAATGAAATAAGGACATTCGATTTGTTGTGATTAAAAAAGTGACGTTAGTTCAAACGAGTATGTAACAAACTTCTGTTTGCCATTCAACCTTCAATCAACTACGCAATAAATAAATTATGAAAGTCATATGTACCATTTTTCAATTCAACATTATCGAATGAAGTTCAATTTGCTTTTTTTGAGAAAAGAATTGTACAGGTGGATCAAAATGAATTATTCACCTCATTATAAGTCGCAAAAGAGCTTCATTACTGAGTCGCTTTCTCATAACGGGAAATTCGTCATCCGTTCTCAATGGAATGGCGTGTAGCATAAGAATACAGCAGAAAAAGATACAGAGCATTTGTTGGAAGGAAGACATGATACCTGCAATGGGGATGAAAGATATGCGACAGCAAAAAACGGCGAAAATGTTAAAAGCGAGTTTCAAATGTGAGTTATGAAGATTAGTATGATATTCATATCTCGAATGACGATGAGATATGACAAGCTGAGCAAGCGAGTCTTCATCATTCTTCGTAAGAAATGAGAGTTTCAGAGAAAAGGCCATGGATGTTTTGGGAAAATAATAAACTGAGAGAAAGGCGGCCCCACACCTCCAGGATACTGACGACTAAAAAGTGAGCTTGAAACCACCGACTAGGACCGGAGACTGAGGAGACAGGTGTGGTTGGTGAAACGACATAAGAATGAACAAGGCAGGCATAAAATGGATTAAGTAGGAAGAGCTTTACCATCAAATTTGACAATTGTTGTCCAATGTGTCCTAGAGCCTAATGCACATTGGAACCTGAACAATGAAAATATTCTTGTGCTTCGATGGTTCCTAACTTCAGGAGTACGCCCACCCATCACTTCATGACATCAGGAGGGACTTCAAATGATTATGACGTTATCCACTCTTTCTTCAATTGACAGGAAGTCAGAATATAGAGCAATAGTATAGAAGTCTAAACAAGGTTTTTCCCATAAAAATAACAAACAAATAGCGAAAAACTTTTATTTACAGAGAATTTCCGAAAATATTAATGAACTTTGTTGAAAATAAGTGGAATTTACGACGTTTTCTTTTTAGGAGCACCGCGCTTCCTGAATTGAAACAATAGGAGAATACACAAATAGATATCTTACTTTGCGACCTCGTTTTCAGCTTCGCTTACTTGTCTGAAATAAGGTCAAAATAGAGAAGGGCAAAGCAAATGAAAATTACTTTTTTTGCTTGTCAGCATTCTTTTTTTGAGGTGTCTTATCCTCTTTCTTAGAAACTGTCTTCTCTTTCTTGGCTACAGTCTCCTTCTTCGAATCAGCTTTCTTCTCTTTGGCTTCAGCTTTCTTCTCTTTGACTTCAGTAACTTTCTTTGCCTTGACCACAGCCTGTTTCACTGCAGGGGCTTTCTTAGCTGGAGTTTTCTTAGTAGTTTTCTTGACAGGAGATCCCTCTTCCGGAGATCCTTCTTCCATCTCGGTCGACTCGTCATTGGTCTCAGCTGATACTTCTGCCTCTTCGGTATTTTTCTTATTAGCAGTCTTCTTGGAAGTACGCTTTTTCACCGCTTTAACATCTTCAGCAGACTTCTTTGACCTGAAATGAGAGTATGAAAAGAACACAAACAAATAAAGTTGTATTACTTTTTAGGGCTCTCACCCATAGTCTCTTTGGCCGACCTATAATTGACGAAAATACAAAATTCACAACATATCTCAACTTACGGAGCTTTACGCTTCTTTTTCCTGAAAATAAAAATATAATTGAAGTTAACTGTCTAAATATTACCCAATAATTGGCAACGAAGCTTTGTAGTACTCAATTGGCATTTTGACTCTAGTGGACTTGCGAATTTCTTCGGTAGATAGAGCACTTTTTGGCTTCTTAGATTCTCCCACAGCTTTCGCAGGAACAGATTTCTTGACCGTTTTTTTGACAGTCTTCTCAGGTTTTTCCACTACTTCTACGGGCTCAACGGGCTCAACCTGTTCAATAGGCTCCTCAACCTCCTCAACTTCTTCACTGTCAGGATCCTCGGGTGGAACGGAATCCAACTTCCTGAAAGTAGTTCAGTATGGAAAACTTCCGAGATTTACGCACGCTTTTTTAGCACTGGATTTCACTTCGAAAGTGCTGAAATTAAAAAACTTTTACTATTCTACTAATGGGACTAACGTGTTAACATTCTCTTCCTCTCCCTCTGACTCAACAATGTCCAGAACTTGAGGTTTACTGAAAAGAAATAGAGGTAATGCCCCATTACGATGAACTCACGTTTTTTTGTTGGCTTTTTTACTGCTTGAAGCAGGTACAGGTAATTCTGCACTGAAAAAAGGATACGAATTATAGAGAAAACTTTCTTTTGTACTTACTCTCTTCCTATGGATGCACGCTTTTTGCTGATCTTCTTAGCAACTTCGCTTCTGAAAGACATGGGAAAGTAAGATTAGACATGATGACACACACATACCTAGACAATGATCTTCTGCGAACCATAGTTTAACTACCTAGTTTTCTTTGTAAGTAATTAAGTTATAAGCTTAAGGTTAATACTCGTTCCCACCAGAAGAAGAAAACAGGCGTTGTCACTATAACAAGGTTTTAGATGTAACGGAAACGTTCCGGGAAAATTTTCCCGCCATATAATGATCAAAAAATTTGCAATGGGTCATATGCATACTTCTTTTTCGGATTCACAATTAATTTGAATGTTTTCCCACGCCGTTTATTGATTGTTGTGTTCGAGATTGTTCAATCATTTGATAGAATTGATATTTATTGCCTTCAATGATGAAATTTATACGACAAGTGATTAATAAAACAGTAATTAAGCTAATTTATCAAATGAAAACAACATTATGAAATCCGCGCTGAGTGTTCCCGTGCAATAACCTCGTACTTCGGAAAGTTTGTTCATTGAATAAGTACATATACTACTATTATACTCCAATCGCATTCTTAATCAGACTATCAGCATCTATAAATTTAATGTAGTTACACTCGTAATCTTAAATCATACAATCCGCTGATATCAAATTTTCCAAAACCAATCCCGCGAACGGTTCATCACCTTTCTTCACTGTTCTTTGTATTTCCGCTTGGAACGGTTGGAAAAACCTGAAATTGTTCAAACTTCATACTGCTTCAAGATGTAGTTTCGATTTGTTAGCGAGCGATAGCTCAAGTGATATCGATTGATTTCACATCAGCTCAAGTAGATTTACGTGAACTGTCGCGTCATTTGTGTTTTGAACGAGTTGTTTGCTGGCTGTGTACTTTAGTTTTTAAGAAGTCCTATTCTTACCATCCTAAATGTTGCCCACATTTGCACATGCTAGTAGTCCAGTCAGTCCCTGGAAACCAACTGTAATCTGAGGAACGCTATAACAATATTTGCTTTCAAAGAGACAAGTTTTAGACAAACTTCGCCAGCGAGCTTGAAAAACGCATGCCTTGCCGTTGCCACATGGAATCGTTGTCCTAAAAAACTGTTCAAATTTACAAATTGCATCTTCAAACAACCTGCTGGATTATCGAACACGTGAACGGTGGTGTTCTTGCCGATCAGTGGAAAAACGTAACTAAACAGATTTAATGACTCAAGCTTTAAGCAGCTTCACGCACTTATATTTTGTTTTTTCAGCATCAGCCGTGACGTTAATTATCTCAGAACTTGTAGTTATAAGTTTACCACATTTTCGACAAAGAAGTTGTCCTACGTGCTCACTATCCCCTTCCAATAAATGAAATTTATACGTGTTTATGGGACTATTTACCTAGTGTGAGTGAAAAAACAAAATGAATTAGTGTAAGGTACTTCAACATCATAAATCCCTGAAAGCAATGCGATTTGCTTGAACTTTTATTATAGTTCTCCTTCTTCTGCAGGAATAAATAGGAAAAACAGAAGGAAGCGAACAAAATAACAACTGCAATGCCTTATGCTAACCCGGTCAACTATGAATTGGCATTGGAGCAAGGTTTGCCGCTTGGATGGACCCGCATGCAATGGAAGTCATATAAAAGGAAGGATTACTTGCTAATATGTAAAAAGATAGAGCCGGAACATTTAAAAGTTGCTAATAACCTAAATTAACTATGAAAACATATTATTGAAAAGTATTATAATGGAAATTCAATCAATACATAAAGGGCATATGCACGCTATAACACATTCCTCAACCTTTTATACAACATACATCATTTCTACTCATATACAAGTTTCTTCATTTTCAAAATAAGAGTACCTGAGAGCATGTGAATATGCATACGATGATAAACTATCATTAATTACATGATTATTATTAAATTTTTTTGCTGATTTTACATTTTCTAAACCTTCGACAATATCAGAGTACATATTGCCTTTACTTCACATGTTTGTTCTTTCTTTCACTCGAAACCTGAGCACATAACGCTTCATTCTCGATTGCAGAAGTGCAAGAAGCGGTTGTTCACGAATGACATGAAGACGAAAAGCTCGTAATTCCTCTATTTCCGGCGTTCAATTAAACTCATTTATAATATAGTTATTCTATTTCCGTGAGTAATATTTCTATTCCCAATCTCCCCCCTTCCCAGCCCTCAGTCACTGACCGCAATTTCTGAATAATCGAAAATTCTTTTCATCATAAGATTTTCACAACTTATCAAAGTCCATCTAGAGGACTATGAAGAATTGGACTGTTTAAAAGTACAAAATGTCTCCTGAGATTCTTTAATTCTTCTTTTTATTACTACTTTCATTTGCATTGCAGAAGCATATATAGCTTATGCTATAACAAATCTGCCTTTTTATTCTTTTCAAAAGATGTCTCGAGTACTAGTTGTATGTGAGTTTTGTCATTCGCTCTTTTTCCATTCATTGCACTAACTAGATTGCTTTAATGATGAAGAGCCTAAGTACAAATGTAGGAATCACATGAGATCAGTTGAACGACAAGCGGTCAAGTTCGTCAAGATAATAAGATTTCTAAAGCCCCAATAACAATTTGTTCAATAATCTCTTTTTTCTCTCTATCCATCTCTTTTCCTCGTTTTCCAATTTTGAACAGTTCTTGTGTTACTAGCACTTATGCCAATTTTTGGCGGCTAAAATTCTGGAAATTTTATGTATCTTGCTATCTTCATAACATAGTCACTCTCGAAACCTGAGTCAACAAGTTAAAAACTAGACTAGACAGACGTTCTCGATAATGCTTCGACCCTCCATTATTTATCTGTTATCTATTAGTACTTACCATATATAGTTAATGTTTGTCAGTTTGTAATCGATAATTATGAGCTCTGAAGCAGCCTGCACTTGCTGTTGTTAATACGGCTGTCCTTTACATTTTGAATTTTTTCTGTCCGTCGTAGTTCCCTAGTCCACACCATCACAACCGATGTCCCCCCCCCCCGGCGCCTCTTCTTTGCCCTTGCACTATCTTTTCGTCTGCCCATCATTGCCCTCTCATTCTGTTCAATTTTCTCACATATTGCGCTATCTTAAACTATCTTTTTTTGGTTTCTCCGAAATTTCTATGTTCTCTTTTTACTTGTTCTCATACCTTCTCCTATTGGAGGGCGAAATACTGTGTACTAGACGAGAAACACACAGCGCGAGTTAGATAGCAGAAAGTGCAAACGACGGCATTGAGAAATCCGGTGCACTTTTCCGTAATCCAAAGTTGATCGAAATGGATGGCTATAGTCGTTTCTATGTGTCCTTCTTCGCCTCTCTTCACTGCTCTCTTCTCTCTCTCTCTCTTTCAGTTTCCTACCCTATCATTTGACATTTTCTCATTCCCAAATGGAGCTTGTCAGTCGGCCATACTTGGAAGCTTAGCTTTTTTTCCATGCAGACGTGTATGTGTATATGATCTCGTTCACTTCATGTGCTTAGCAAACCCTTATGTGCATTACTCTGTTCATTTGTATCTCAGCTTTCTCTCCTGTACAGTGTTGTCCCCTTTTTTGCACAGTTTGTAATTGAGTTTAGTTTGTATTCATTTGGAAACTCAATCAAATCTTTTTCCTTCACTTATTATTTATGGATGGATTATTATAATCCAACGTTTTATGATTTGCCTATAATAGCGATTGGCGGCGGCACCTCTGCAGCTTTCTTCTCCAAAAAAGGAGAAAGCGAAGAAAAAAGATGATGACGAACAGCCAAATATCGTGTTTTTAGTTCTATGTTTTTAGAGAATGTTGCCATGCTTATGTCTAGTGTCGACCTCTCTCTGTACCTTACCTTCCTATTTTTCTTGTCAAATCTTCTCTTTTTCTTCATCTGTTCTTCTTTTCAATTTTCCAAATTATTTGCATGTGGTGATGTTGGTGGTGGTGGCCAGGTCGTTCGTCGTCATTTTCTTGTACTGTGCCATCTGTCTTGATTTTCCTCATTTTATGATATGTTCTATTTATATCTTCCCAATCTATCTATTATATCTATATGTTTCAAATGTTCCGGCTCTATCATTGCACATATTATATCGAATTTCAAAAATATATTCTGTGTTGTTCGCGTTGTCGTATTTTGTCTGTTCCTCATCGTCCTCTTAGTTCTTCGTTGTCGTCTTCTTCATTTTCACTAACGCCTTTCCCGATTCCTCTCTGCGTTGTCGTCACGAATGAACTTTTTGAATCAAATGTTTCTCAATTTCGTTGACAGCTTGCTTGAGAGAATGAGAGAGGGAGAGAGAGAGTGAAAGAGGAAAAAGAGCTCTACTGAAGAACATATGAGCAGCTTAAGTGCAAATATGCTAATCAGCACATGCACGTGTACATTTACTGAATGCACTTTTGCGCCGCCGATCGCTTCAATTGATGACAAATGGTGCCAACAAACTGATACGATGAGGACGAAGAGGCGAACGAAAGAAGACGATGTTTAGCTTTGTTCAATTTCGTTTAGTTTGTATTGCCTATATTCTCTTTTCTTTTTTTTTTCACATGTAGTTATGAAAGAATGTGTGGGGGGTGGGAAAGTGAACGAGAGAGCGCGAGAACGAAACTGAGAGAACGAGGGAATAATTAACAATTTTATCAATTAGATCATTTCGTTTGCTCATATATAATATATAATATTATATATTGAGCAAGATTTGATCCTCTGTTTTGCACTTAGTTTAGGCCATTGAACAATTTTCGCTGTCTCGGGCATTACTTCTAAAGTAAATACTATGAAACCCCAACGTTCGTCGTTTCTCCTTTTGCTTTGCCATCAAAATCTTTCTTCTTCCTCAAAATGTCGTTTCTTCATCTCGATTTCTTTGATGCATGTATCCGTTTTTTATAAAAAATAATTCTTTCTTCTTTCATGTAGCGCGTATCCAGATTGATGGTTAATCACTTGATCCTACCATCAAGCCCTCCTTATCAACCTAAGAAGGATATTCGTACTCCGTTAACGATAACGGCAACAGGATTCCAAGACTTTGAAGATATTCCGCCTTTAGTTAGAAATTCGGCAAAACAACAATTGGGCTATGACATGTCAAATCTTCTGATTACCGTGCCTGATACTTTGGAACAGCAGCTGTTGAATTTACTGCAACTAGGTAATAGAAATGATTTTTGGAATGTACTTATTCGTGTATTTTATAGATCCCGTAGCGTTTTGGACAGAAGTAAAACATAGTACAATGAGAGATACACTAGCTGATGCCATGATTATGAAAATTCGACAATCTTTCCAAAATCCATCTGAACCGACAAGTAAGTGAGAATCACTCGTATTATCTTTCATTTTACGAATGAGAAGAGCATTTTTCATCTTTTTTTTTCTTCCTCTTTCCAGATGCTTTGTACTTGTCTCGAATATTAATTGCTATGAACCTTCAAAATGATGTCATTTCTGGATTGACTAGCGATCAACGACATCGACTAGCCTCAGGAAAATCCACGAACCTCCTACAAATTCGTCCGCCTACTATCCAGACTGTGTCTCGAAATGAGCAATTAGGGAAACATGAGCCGTCAATAAAAGTTGAGCCCACGGAACACAAATCCAAAGAGAACAACTCGGTCTTAATGAAACTGTTAGGTAAGCGAATCACAAATTAGATTTATTCTCCTTGAATAATACGTAATTGATTCGAATACTATTGCTTTCGCAACAAAACTCAGCTAATATACTTGACAAGAACTAATTCACTTTCTGTTTTTTATTTTCCTCCCTTTTCAGAAGAACCGACTTCACCTAAACGGAGGCGTGTTGACGAGACTTACGAAAATGAAAGTTACTATACCTTTGAGCCAACAGCTTTGAAGCGAAAATCTCCTAAAGACAGTCCATCAAATGACTCTTTCACTATGATGAGTCTATGAACAGTTCAATCTAATCTGTGCGGTTTCTCAACGAATTAGGTGTTCGACTCCACATGGAACTATGTGAGTTCTGTTTATGACCATATACGATTTGTGTCTTGTATATGCGTATTACATACGGGTTCGCCTGTGGTAAGCATTGTTCCTGCTTTCTTATGTTTTCGAGAATGTCTATCTTTTTACAATGCATTTTACCCCTACCCCTCTTTCTCTCCCGGTCCAATTTGTGAGTTTGGTCTTCTTTGATATTCTTTCATATTTCCATTATCTCTTCTACTTCTACACATTTCCTTCTTCAATCATCATCATACTCAGGATTATATCTCTGACTGATTATGTAAATATTTCAAATTTCTTTTTTTTTTCGTTTTTTTTATATAATTTTTAATAAAAAGTTTTTTATAAGTTGTGGAACAGCTCTTTGAAGTACTTTTAGTTTGAAAAGAGCATTCTCAAAACGAGTTGTTGTTATCAGAGATTTAGCTCTCGTCCTATTAACCTTTAGCCGTTCGTTAAACTACGAGAAAAATTAGAATATGCGAGCGCTATCTCCTTCACCAACTCATTTTGATTAAAAAACAATTGCAGAGCGGTTGCATTCGATTTCTTGTTTCCCTGTTTCAGCTGTTTATATGAACTATAACGAATAAATTGTTTTTTCCGACTTTTTTCATTATGAATTATTTAGAATTGGAGCAATTTGCTTTAGAACAGAATAGAGCTGGAGAGAGAGTATGAGAGGAGAAAAAAAAGTTTTTTTTTTCTCACTAAATCCAGCATTATTTTCAATTCAACAAGTTTATGTTGAAGATTAAACAGTGCAGCAGTTGGCTTTTCACACAAACATAGCAATAAGTATTAGATTCTTCTCTGGCTGTCTCGCTTGTCGTCGTTGCTCCGGCTGTGATGAAACATGAAGACAAACGAATGACACAAGTATGGGCATTGGATTTGGAACAATACGCAAAAGCCGCCAAATTATAATGAAAAATGTAGGAGAGGGTTAAGAAAGAAAGTTTTTATCCTGTAAATACCTTAGTAATCTGAACCTACTTGTGTCAATAGTCTATCCTGTCTACAGCTACAACTATTCCACCTCCTCCACCCCTATTCCGTCTGGATAAGATAATTGTCTCGCACCGACACAGATTGAAAGAGTAGAAGAGAGTGAGTAGGAGAGAAGACGATAAGCTTGTGTGAAAATATTTAATTTTTTTTCTTTTTTTTCTTGTTTCTCCTCATTTTTTCTTACTTAAAAGACAAAATATTCTATTTTTTTTCTTTAAAATAAATAAACAATGTAAAATGATTATGTTATAGTTATGTTTTGACAAACGCGGAAGATTTACTGAATGATTTACTTTCCTTCCTTTCCCTGTTTTTGGCATTCGGTGAAGTTTACTGTGGAATTACAGCTGAAATTTTCATTATTACAATATTATTATTATTTTGTTTAAAAAAATGTTTATTGGACTAGAAGATGTTATTCGGGCAGCTCAAGCTTGTTTCGCTTCTTTCGTTACAAGAGAGGCTGAAGACGAAGTGAAACGTAATCTATTGTTCATGGATACTTGTATTTGGTATTGTTTCATTACATCACTATACCATCTAGCTATCTATCCATCCATATATCCATCTATCTGTGCAAACTTTGATTCTTGAACATCATTTGCATATTTACATTTTACAGAGCCATTTTAAGAATCACAACACATGTTTTTCATTTCTTTTCCTCTATCATTTAAATTGTCTCAATGACAGACGTGCATTTATTCGTCTTCCTTAAATGGTAACCGTTCATTAGATTGTCATCTATCATGCTCTCTCTGTTCAATGTTCGCTTACGTTTTTGCTTTTATAGACATAGTATGTATCTACATCGAACCACATCCATAAGACTCAACAAAATAAGAGCAACCTTTATGCTTTCTCATTTTGCGACACACAAATTTCTTTACCATCATTCTTCCTTTGTTCACCTTCCTCCCATTTGTACTTTGGAGATTTATTCTTATATTGCACTTTCTTACTTCATAAATATCGTTTCGAACAGGAAAAAGGGAAGATTTTGCAAGAAATAGGAAGTGTCGTCAGATGTCAAACAACTAAAGTTTAAAAAAAGAGAAAAGAAGGGTGTGGAGAGGGAGAGAGAGAGAGAGATGATAGGGGCAAGAGCAGAGGGGAAGTTACTAGGAAGAGTGAGAGCGAATTGTTTTTTTTCCTTTCTTAATATCATAATGTCAATTCAGCTGAGATTGTTGAAGAAGTTAAAACAAAGTTCATGATTCCCAGAGTCCCTTTGCTAGATGTTCTTACTCTCTCATCGAAGCATCTCTATCTTCCCTCTTGTGTTCCAAAGCTTTTCACATACAAAATAATATTTTCCTTTGGTTAACATAAGAAACAGAGAGAGAGAGAGATGAAGAGAGAGAGAGAGATGAAGATTTTACGAATTGGCTCTGGTTTTGGAAGACTTTTTAAGCAAAGAGATTAAGAAGAGAATTATGGGCAAAGATAAATCTTTTCCTTTCCAAAGCTGATCTCCTACTTCTCATATTTGTATGTTATAATCAATATGATTAAATAACTTACATTTTAATATATGAATGAAATGAAGTGTAATTTCAAACTAGAACACTGCTTAATAGAAGAGAAATTTGATATTTTCGCCGAAAAAAAAACTTATGATGTCTAGGCGCAAAGTCAAATACAACTTGGAAAGAGTTTAGAGTTTGACCCTCCCGTATTGGGAAGTTAGAAGCTCAAATGTGAGCTACAGCTCTGTGCCTCACGAACCTTTTACATCTTTTTTTTTTGCCCATTTTTTTGTTTTTCAAACAAATTTCCTCAACAGGTTTTTAATATCAAATGTTTTCTTCATTTCTTCTCGCTTCTGCTGAGTCGGTTCTCGTGCCTCAAACATTTTCATCCTGCAGATCAGTGGAAGAGCAAACGCTTATCAGATCAGTTGTGAGATAATATAAACAAGTATTTTTGAGTTTGGAATACATAATATCCATAATCTGAGAATGAATTAAGTATCATTTCCTGCTATAAGAAGATGAACATGATGTCATTACTTCAATTACTCTCTACACGTTATTGAAACTGAATGGTAAATGAACAGTCGCCCACACCATACACGGACAATTTGACAACAATGATGACAGCTTTCATCTATCAAATGTTCTTAGACTACATCTAAATTAATACTTTGTGAATGAGTCGTGGATAGATAATCGTATTCCCTCAGACATCTTGAGCTGCCGTCGAGGTGTTCATACATCTTTGATGATTCATCTGCACAAAAGAAGCTTGTGTGAACAAAAAAAGATCCTATACAACCATTCGTTGCCCCTGGTTTTGTTAAGGAAACCTCTAAACTTCCCAGCTAACTCATTCAAAGATCAGATGAAACCATAGTCTAAGCTTGAATCACAAATTTCAAAAATATTATTAAAATTTGTATTCTTTGACTTTGCTCTATCTGCTATTCTCAATCAAACTTTCAGATCATTTTCACATACAAATCAACAGCAGCTGTTAGGTGAGTTCTATCCACACATGGTGTGAAATTCATTTAAGACCAGGGTTTAGAATGCAAATGAGTAGATAAGCAAAAACTAATCTTTACGAGAAGTGTTCAGCTTCATCCGCGAAAAATAAAAAAAAAAATGAATTTGAAAGCATCATCTGATGCATCTAAGTCGTGAAATACAATGTGATCATCTGTCTACCATTACCAACCATGCATTTCCTTCGTCACATTATCACTCTCGTTAATTTATTGAATATTGAATTCTCTTCCTCTCTCTCTCTCTCTCTCAAAACCTCCCTACTTATTCCCTCTTTAATACATTTAATTATCTCATTTCGCACCAGAAATTTGCTCTGATGTAAGAAAGCAAATAAAAAATTGAAAAAAATTTGACTTTTGTTTCAAAAAAAAAAAAATTTTATAAATTGGCTACGAACTGACACGAAATGAGACGACAATACTCGCCTTGCATGCTCACATCTTACAATGATTACGTTGTCGTAAGCAAAATTTTTTTTTAATTCTATCTTCAACGATTAATACAATATTTGTTTTGTGTTAGGTTTGAAATATTGTTTCCTTCGTTCGAGTTCCAAAAACCGAGTCAATCCTTTTCCATTAACTCCTTGTGCATTCACTTTCATTCTCTCTCTCTCTCTCTGTCTTCATAATATGAACTAAACGTTAAGTACGCACTATGAGATTTACAGAGAATTATACTCATTATCATCTTAGTGCGTTTCTCTAAGACAATGAGAAAGAACTTCCATCAGAACTCTGATCCTATAAGAGGATGTGACAGGTTTAAACTAACACATTGTAAATAACTCTGCGTGCAGTCTGATAAAGAAGAAAAATCCGCATATGCAATATCTGTGTTCGAAAGCATATTTAGTTATTATCCTTCCTTTCGTCTTCCCCCCCCCTCAACACTCCTCCCTCTTCAACTATCAGATTATTTTGAATTCTCATTTCTTAGTTTCTTGAAATTATTATAATTTTCTTTTTTTAATTCTCTCTCTCTCTCTCTCTCAATCGTTACTCTCATTCACATCCATTATCATGAGAAATAATATGAAATGAACTCCTAATTAGAACGTATAAATAAACCCGCAATTTGTTCTGATGAAATATCATTTACTGCAAACACAACCGTTCACCTGGAGCAATTGAATGTTAAATGAATTTCAATGAAACAGCTGGACGATTACTCACGCGTTTCACGCATTTCACGTAGCTCATGCAATATGCAAATGTCATGCTCAAATAGTTGAAATCCAATAAGATCCAAAGTAATGCCTCCAAAACACTTTGGTCTTGTAAATATTTATCGAAATTGGCAACGCAGCAGTTTTAGAAGACGAAATAAGATTTAGCTGTGAGTTTGCTTATCAATATTATTGTTAAAGTTCGCACAATGCTCATATGATCAGAAGCTGCAGCAGCCATCAAGGCGCAACTCTCTAGACAACTTGTTTTTTCAGCATTTTCTCTAACTCGCTAAAAAAAGATATTTTGTTCACCAAATTGACGTGAGAGAGAGATAGAGATGAGAGTTAGAGTTCTAAGATAGGTCTAGCTGGCCATCCATCCTTGAAGATGGAGATGGCAAAGATGAGCTATTGTGAATCAACTTCCTCATGAACAATGCCCTTCATCTAACCTTTCATTCAGAAAGCTCAAAGCTTTCATTTTTGTTTTTTAATTTTTTAATTTCGTTCGTTTGCTGTCTTCAGACGACATCAATCATCTTTATCTCCTAGCCTTCCACTCAACAACACATTGTTTTATGCTTTTCACCCTTTTTATGTACAAAACTTTTTTTTTCTGCCCAAATTGCTAATTGCATAATTCGCGAAAACAATTAGTCTTGATATATGGAACTGTTTTTTTTTGTTTCCAAGTTTTACGGTCTTGCTTTGATATGCAACATAAGGCAACACGAAACATCTCCATCCTATCTCAGGCGATCTGCCAACTATCCGAACTCTGTTAAGGTCTGTCATTTCGAAATTCAAAGAATCTAATATTCAATTTTGTGTTCCAATAAGTACGTGTTTAGACGGCTTTAAACAAAAAAAAACGTCATCCAGCTTAAAAACTAAAAAATGCTGTTTTCAATGTGAACACATCACTTGTTATTTGAATGTTATTAAAGAATTCGTAGACAGTACACAGACTGGTGAAGACAAAAATATATTTTAGTCAAACGTCTTCCATATATAGTCCTGTTCAATAATTAATCAGTTGGAAAACATAAATCTGATTATTCTTCTTTACAAAGTGCGCGTACGGTTTGTTGCTCGGCACGCCAGCAAAGAGAATCCTGATAAGTCTGCCAAACACCATCGAATGGTCAAGCATCTTGTCAAACTTTTGTTTTCATTCATATTCAATCGCCCTTTTAGTTTCGACAAAATTCTTAACAACGACAATGACGTTTTCTGATCCCTCCTTCCAGGATACACCTATGAATTATGGATTTGGCTTAAAGATCTTGACAAATTTTAAATTTAGTGAACAAGTTGCTCTGAGCAATTGAGGACATCTTCATTGTCTCGTTGTGCTTACGTTGATCGTGAGACAATGCGAAAACAAAAATTCTGTTCAAACTCCTTGTTGATCAGTTTAATATATTTGTGGAAAAGCATGTCTCATCTCTTCCTTATGAATGGCTTCCCGAAATTTCCATTTAAATCTGCTGCAGCTACAGCTTCCACCTCGCACAAAGATGAAAAATTATTTGAAATCCCATGACATATTTAGAACACCACTTATTTTCATATTAATTATACATTATTGTTATTTATTGGTGTGCAGCCTAAGTCTGATCACATACTGATTAGGATCACAAGCTACTGAATTTGTGACGTCAGTATCTGAATAATACTTGAAATGCTTCATGCCTCACCTTATTTCAAAATTGCCAAACGCGTTTCCTCCCCCCCCCCCCCCTTCATTTCTCTCACACTCCTTCATATTCTCTCTCTATATTCATCTCTTTGGCATTCTTGCTATTGTTCCGAAATGAATTTTATTCTTCGTTGTAACTATCGTTCCAATGATTTTTGATAAATTTTGTGTTTTGGAACATCTATTATTCTACATTTCCTATTTTTGTCCTCAATGACGTGCCGCCCAGCCTAGCCAATAGAGATATATTTTGAATTTTGAGGGTAATTAAGCTGTCTCATTACTTTTATACATGAATGTTCGAACTTTTCATTTTATTGTGAAATCCTCCTTTTGCCTTTTGTTGCTCTTCATACGCCTTCATTTAAAATTAGTTGATTCTGTTATTGTATTCATTGTAGGGTGACATGTTCTTGCTGGTAGTGATGTTAATTGGCGTTGTTGCCGGTGGAATATTACCAATCAGTGAGCTGTAAGTTCATTTGGTCATTTTATTCATTTATATATATAGCATATTTACATATTAATAAGTCTATTCGTAATTATTTCCAGATATGGTACTCAATATGACAAGCGAACAGAATTCGATGATCCCAGGTACATTCTTTGTTTCAGACGCAAAAGAGAAAAAGTATGAATTTTTTAGAATGTTTTCATCAGCATTTGGAAAGCGAAGCTCAAGCATGCCACAAGAACGTCTGGAGAGGTTATTTTTAATATTCTGCCTCTGTTGAAAGGTTTCATTCAGATCCATTATAATTGAAGACCCCAGAATGCTAACAAACGCTTTTGGAAAACGTGAAGCTCTTGTTGATCCAAGGTATTACTATGAGAATTATTTTTCTGAAATCTCGTGCTCTTAAATGCTCGAAGACTTGAAAGCCGAAAAGAGAGAGAGAGAAGAGAAACGGAAGCTTAAATTCTGAACCATCTTACCTGACAGCGAATGCAACCGCACGTGCCAATAACAAAGCTATAAATTGAAATTTAAATTCTTCAGGACATACGAGTTATTCTAAAATATGCTAATTAGGTTTGCTGGACTTCGATGCAAAAACTCAATTTAGAGTATAATTCAATGAAATTCTTTGTAGAATATGATGTATACTAGTTGTTTTCTCACTCCATGTTATGACATTTGACATATTTCGTTATCAAATCAGAGATCTCGTCGCAACCGCCATAATTCATTTTGCTCTCAAGACTCAAACCTTCTAACTTCCTTTGAATATTGCATTTCATCTAGTACAAATTCCGTGCGAACAAAAGATATAATCAAAGAATTGCTATAAAAAAACAAAATGACGTTAAAAAATAATTACAATATTGTTCTCAAATAAAAATATCTCGTTTAGATTCTTCTCGTCGTCATTCGGAAAGCGATCCGGCTTCGACGATCCAAGGTTTTTCTTCCGTCTTCCCCCATTTTACAAGCAAACACTGCTTTTTTCAGATTTTTCTCTAGTTCATTTGGTAAACGCTCGGACTTCCAATTCGATGATCCACGGTACGGGCAAACAATCCCTCAAATACATATAAAGATGTTTTCCAGTTTTGCAAGCTTGGCCTTCGGTAGGAGACGATGAGTCGGCATAGATCTGACATCAAAAGAATCTCGGGCCGCACCACTTTCCACGTAGCTAACATCTCGAAGAAAAGTCTCCATTCCATAACTAATCTGTCTCGCATTTTGTTCATATTAAGTATAGATAAACTGAGTTGTTAATGAAATAACCGTTTATTATCACAGTCAAGTAAAATATGTCAGATTTAGCTAGCAAGATCCACATATAGGCGGCAGAGGCGGCGGACACGTTTAAAAGCAAATACAGACATATGCAAACCCACGTAATGTGGAGACGATGAACAAATGCTAAATCCCATATAAATCTGCATTATTAAATATTAATAAAAAAGTAAACAATCAGCGGTAAAATGTGAATGAAACAGACAGTGATGCGTTAATTAAATACAAGTCTAACTTATTGTGCATCAGCCTTACTAAAGCATTGTCAATACAAATCCGAAATACATTTAAAATCATGACCAAAAACACCACGCAATCAGTATTAATTTCTATTTGATGAGCTCATAATTATGTGTTTGAGTACTTTAGTCAACTTTAATGGAAGAATAGATCTTGCGCACGAACCAGTAGGTGGACATGAATCCAATTGTGCCTGAAGTTAGATGTTTAAGAGATCAATCATACTATCATAATCACCTGTCATGAGGAAAAACATGAAGACGAAAATAGATGTGTACGAGAAGTACAGAATGGTAGAAACCTAATAGTGATTGGTTGAGATAGAGGATTCCGAAAACAAAAACTTACAACTCCACTTATAGTTAGCTTGCTGTTAAAGAAGTGTACACAGTACAACAACAGATATACTGCTGTGAAACCACTCGTGAGGAATGATCGCCACCACCAATGATAATCCTAAAATAGAGCATCATGGATTGTCATGTGCGTCATTCTCACCTCCGCACAAAGATGGAAATATGCCAATAAGATTGTAGCCTCAGAACATGTAATTATAAGGATGAGGAAAACAAGGAAGAGGAATCCGAACATGTAGTATGTTTGATGGGCCCTACGAGGGAACAAATTAAAAATATTCCTGAATGTTCACTCACCAAATGCTATTGAGGATGAAAAAGAGTTGAATGAAGATACATCCGAAAGGCAGAATTCCTCCCATCAACATTCCTGGTAAAGGCTTGGTGTACATGGTTTGTTCGGGAACTTGACGAGGGATTTGATTAGTTCTTACAGGAGCCTCGAATCCCTGGAAATCTAAGATCAGAAACCAAGCAGAAACAATTTTATGCCTACCCTCTTTTTGAATCCGAAGAAGGCTCCGATGAAAGTCATTGGAGTCGAAATGAATAGCCATAGAGACAACAGAGCAACAAGAGTTCCGAAAGGCACGGCAGCCGAGGATCCTTTACTCCAGAGCAGAAGATTCGTGAAGAAAAATATGGAGAAGAGCATTCTGTAAAAAAAAAGTCATACATAACGGATTGAGATCTTGAACTACCCAGGAACCAAGAAACTTGTAAGCAGAACATTTGTTTTCCAGTGTACACCTTGGAACGCTACAAAACGATCATTAAGAAAACATTATGTTAAGAAGAAAACATACTCTTATATAAACGAGCCGAGACATAACCAGCAACGATTCCGAAAAATACGTACAAAACCAGGCCAAATGTCATCAGAGAACCACGGTTAGCTGGTGAAAGGAATCCCAAACAAGCAAATACTAAACAAATCGTCAGGATACTTTTAAAGACAATCACAAACCGAGAGTAATAGCAACCATGAAGAGCGTTTGTGTACCGGCTCCAATAAAGACGGACAACATCATAGCATATCGTGGAGCTCTGAAAACATCACCATGGACAAGCTTCCATCCGAACTCTTCTTGAGCATCTTCCTTAAAAATCAAAAAAATGAATGGATAGAGTTCTGAACACAAACCTCGTTTTCCTCATTGTACTTGGTGATGTCTCTGTGCAATGTTCTCATCATAATCATACCGACCTGAATAATAGAGAATGAGATTATGAACTCAACCTCTAAGAACGCACCATTCCAGACAAGAAAAGTACAATGACGAGAGAGTTCATGATTGAGAACCATTGGATGTTAGTATGTGGTATAGAGTCAAGAATGTAGTCCCATCGAGAAGACCACTTGACTTTCGTGTCCTAGACAGGAAGACATGAAGACACAATGAGACCGTTCAAAACTAACCTTCCATCTGATGGAGTAAGTATAGATAACCTCAGCAGAGGTATCTGATGCTTTCAAAGAGAGAGGTGGTGCATCTTCCGTACAACGAAGATTATCAACATCTCTATGTTTGATCGAGCGTGGTTGAACATTTACATGGATGATACGTCCTCCCACCTAAGGCATACAACGTGAAATGAGAAAAGAGAAAGCAAACTGACCTTCTCTTCCAAGAAGTTTGGATCATTAGACATATCTCTATACTCAATAGAGATATCAACATGATTGAAAAGGTAGTAACTATCTGGTTGATTGAATCTTGGCTGAAACTCCTCTTAAAATCGGAAATGCCGCGGTAAGTGACTCACATCAAGAACGCAAGCATCGTGTTGGCGGCGATTGGTATCCACGTAGCATCCCATTGGGAACCCAGTAGTACATACATTCATACTTTGTTGATTAGTAAAACAGAAAGTAACGGGCATATTGTCGATAATCCTGCAAGCTTCCATATATGCTGCATAAGTTAGCTAAAGCCTTACCAATGATGTTGATAGTTCAAACGCATTCCCTTCTGGAGATGTAAAATCTTGGCAAGATCGTTTTGACCATTATACTTTTTATTACATAATAAAGAGCACTCTTTCTTCTCAAGGAAAGAAATCTGAAGTATTGATTAGATGACTAAGGTATGAAAGCTCAAGCTATACATCGTATTTACTGGGTCTGATACGTTCTCCAAAAAGAACTTGTCCCAAGTTCTCAACTGGCGATTCGTCTTCGGAACCAATACAAAAATCAAAGCTAACAAAGTTATTGATAGAAAAAAAAACAACGAAAGTACTTACCTGTGGTATTCATATGGAATAACAGATTGATCGCTATCAAGCCTGTTTACAAACAAGGTTACATTGCTCTAAACGGCGCATATGCAAAGAGATTTTTGAAAAATTAGCTTACGGGACAATTTGGCTTTTCATTTCTACGTTCACAGAAGTTCACAGGTGCTAATCCAGGAAGATAAAATGATGAAGCTAAGCCAATTAGGCATAGAGTAGCAACCCAGAGAGGCCGCATTCTGAAATCAATGGCGTATCGAAACACGTGAAGAGAAATAACTGAGTTTGATGACAAATTATACCGATTTCGAAATTAGTTCCGTATAAAAATGGAGATAATATTATGGATAAATAAATTAAACATGGTTTTAACTAGAAGAGAATCAATGCCAAACGTATGCCACGACAAATTTGAAAAAGGGTCCTGACGCGATGACACACTAAAACATATATTGTCAGATCTAAGCGTTCAGAAGATGTGTTAGATCGAGTTTGAGATATATTTGATGTATATTGGAATACAAATAAAGATCATTCTTTATTATCAAATCAGTATAGAGTGTATAACCTGTCTCGACAGATACCCTTCATAATGTTTCAAAAACTGAAAAGCAGTACAACTAAAATAGATTCATCTGTGTTAACCCGACTTCACTAGATACTTGTCTAACACATGCACCGGGAAAGCAATTGATGATAAACGTGAAAATTGTAAATAACATAACAATTCTAATATGAATTCTAATGAATCTTTGATGTATTACACGTAATAAAGAGGAGCAATAGCATTTTCAATTTGATAAACTAATTGTGGACCGAGTATTCGACTAGTCTTCTCCCATTCATCACGATGACTCCTACGGAACTCACGTAAGGCGCTGGTGGCCGTAGACTATAAATATGTATGAGATGGAGAATAATAGTATGATTCACCTGAATTTCGGCATTCTTGGATGTTACCCTGCAGAGCTCTTGAATTATTGGTATAATCCCCTTGGGGGTCGAATATGGGAAAGCCATGACCAGAGCAGCATAACCGAGAACTGCTCCATGTTGGAATCTTCGTTCAGTATGTGAGTTTAATTCATGAAGACGTTGCTTAAAGCGAAAACTTATAACATAAACCCTATGCTACACATACCACCACTACACTATCTAATTTTATGTATTCACAATGAGCTAAAGAAAGCAAGCACTGGTAGGCTTCATGCCTTACTTCGTTCTAAACGATCAACATTAGCGTCTGCTTTAAATTTCACGATTACCTGTACATCCGTGAGAGCCTTGAAGAGGAAATCAGTAACCAATTCTCTTCTTTTGTTTTTCTCACATACAAAAACGTTAGAGAATACAAGAACTTGGATATACTTTAGAACCGAAACCTTTACTCGCCATTGGCAAGAAGAATAGAATGACTGAATGTTAGGATAAATACAGAAGGCAAGATGAGAACTTACATTTATAACTGTATTCAGAAAATCATCTGCATACTTTTCAGATAATAATAAACTACCCATATAATCATGAACTAGAAGCGAAGCATTCTGTTTAATATCAAAATCTCTAAATGTTGACTGGTCTCTGGAAAAAATTCAATTGAAGTAGTGCATGTTATGGTTTCCTTACTCTGACTCGTCTTCATTAGCATGGTTGACCAACATTGGGAACTTGGCTACTATACCAGGAGTCAAGCTCGTCATACAATCTTCATAATACTGTAGCAGAAACTCGATGAGAGTACGGAGATAAATTAATGACTGAAAGTATATAATGAAGGCAAGTCGCATCGCAATTAGCATATTCATCAGAAACAATTCCTCACGTAACACGTCATGGATCGCGTGTACTTCATTCAAATTTAAACGTGTTACGTGAGCGGTTGCATTCTCTATTGTGAACGCTATCAAAACACAAAGTGTAATTCTTACTCGTCTCTCGCGATCCTCGTCAAAACTGAGATCTTGCTGGCTATGACTTCTTAAGCCAAGAGGCGATTCATGCTCTTTTTCAAAAGTAGTTGCATCTATCATAGATGTACTAGAAGTTAGATGCGATTCATCAAGACAGTTGATCTGAAGAGTTTGAATCGGTTGAGAGAATTCATTCAGAGTCCAAACCATTTTTTCAAATCTTTCCAACCAAAAGTCTGTCCCACGTAATTGGAAGCGCTCAGGTATGCCATCGAAATCGTTGCAGAGATTGGTGTCGTACAGAGTACAGATGTGCTTCAAAGTTCTGAAACAAGAGTTTACAACGGATGATCGAGAATTCTTACGTGGAAACAGCATTTCTCTGTACTTCAGTCGTAGCGACCGGTAACTGCTCCCAAGAGATCTCACACATACGTTTGCGGATCTCTATATCACGCCACTTGTTTGCGATGATGACTTCAGATCGCCTAAACAACAGAAGTGATGATTTTTATAAAAATTATGACATACATTGCTTGATGCCACGGGGTAGGTGAAGGTCGACTCATACCCACGATAAGTTGTTCAATGAGCCACCAGTATCTGCGAGGGTCTTCTTTTGTGAAAAGCTACAAAATATCATTTGAATATAATATATAGGATATACTACTTACTCTAGCGAGGGAATTTAGCCAAGCATATTCGGCTTCATTGTTCATGATGTCATATAAGTGATCCACTGCAGGAGCTAGCCATTTCCACATTTCATCTAACTTCTTGAAAGAGAAGTACTTGGTTCCTTTGGCGATACCCAGAAATAGTTCGGCTGCTAGCCTCTGCTTAGCTCTCTCTTTAGATTTCATGAGCGATTTCAGAGCCCCCAAGAAGTTCTCAAAAATCTTTTCGCTACCAGGGAAATTTCTCAGTAGATACTGAAAAACACAACGTGAACGTTATAATAACGACTTTAGTACCTTGACCATCCACCAGGTACTGTCGGCAAGCGCAATATCATCCTTCTTCTGAACTAACATGAGCTGCACCCATTTCTCAACATTGGCTGTTTTCTAGAAAAGAGCAAATGAAAAAGAACAGAAAAAACTGATGCTTACTTCAAACCATCCTACAATAGTTTCTTCTTCTGGTGTGAGCTCTTCTCTATCGAGAACTTTGTTGCTGGCATATGTAACTACACTGACAGACTTGGGCCACTTATAGCATCCATGCTGTCTAGTGAAGAAAACTGTTTTGTTCCATTTCTCTTCAGTATCAGGAAGATTTTCCGAATCATACGCTACACACAGATTGTCTTTACGTAGCCCACATAGCAGCATGTGACAATTCTCTGGCTGAAACAGAAAAACTAGAACTTATTATGAATGATGCTGTTCTAACCCTTTTCGGACACTCCCACTCCATACGAATGGTTTTCGGTTTGTTCTTCTTAAGCCAAAAGGATAGTTCATCAGCACAGCGACTTCTCAGATATTCTTCGTCGTCTACCATTTTATTCAGTAAGATCTAAAAAAACGTTTGAGAAAACTAAAAGATGTTTGTTCCCACCCTGATAGTGTCTACTTTCGCATTCTGTCTTTGACATCTCCATAACATAGTTCTACACAGCTTTGCGCGAGTATGATGAAGGGTACCCGATTTTTCAAAAATCTCAAGCAGAGTCTTAACTAGCTTTTCCTGTGTTCTTAAAATTGGAACATCTTATAAATAAGAAAAACACCTAATGCTTACTCTTTTCTTTGTTTTTTGCGCTCTTTCTTCAGAGCAATGGCATCTTCTATTTTTTCCTTGGAATCTAATGCCTTCCAAACGCCTATTTTAGGCAGTTCATCCCACCACTGCTGTACGTACTCCGTCAACTCTCCTACCACAGCTGGCTTTCTCGTTGGAGTTGTGAGAGTTCCAATCTGTCCCCAAATAGCATCCATAGTTTCCACGAAGAAAGGACGTTCACTCATCTGACCGAAGGTATGATGAAAGAGAAGATCTTTATATCAAACCTTCATGCTTATGAGTGCTTTCCATAAAATGCATCTTGATTTGATATTTCCAGTACAAGCCCATCTGTTATCTCGGACAACGTTCAAAGCTCCCTAGAAAATATTTCATACGATCGAAAAGCTTCATCAATATACTTTTAATCTCTCTTCGGGACTGTCAGGATTTTCTAAAATTGCGACGATATCTTCGATGAGTTGTTCTTTCGCTTGTGGATAATCATTCAACATATTGTTCAGCTCAGTCTTTGCAGACACTCGAACCTGAAACTCTTATGTTCGAAAGCAAGAAATGTGAGTCTTACGTCTGGGTAATCATTGACAGCAAGTTTCAGAAGTAAATGCATAATCCTCTTTTGGTAATGAGAGTATGGATAGTTTTGCTCTCGACAAACAAAATTCTTCAAAGAAAAGCTTGAAGTATATAACAGAAGAATGAGTTACCAGATGAATTGTGTGAACATAAGACTCCATGGAGCTAAGAGTAAGACGTTTCCCGTACATGCATGGATCGCTCAAGTTGGAGAAGACATCGGTAGTTCTGCTTGTAACACTATTGAGCTCTCCCTGAATTAGGAGTGTATAGTTATTTCGTCGTAGACCTAATGCTTACTGAATCGATGCTTTTTTCGTCTATTAAAGCTCTTAAGAAAGCAGTAATGGTATTCAAAGCTTGGTGATCATCTTTAGAGTTGGCCAGGCGGTCGACGATATCTTCTAATATTTCCAACAGAACTTCGCGGACATTTCGGCCATCCGTGTAAGAAATTTCTATATAGAGAATAATGAATATTATATAACAGGTATTTGAAAACCGAATTGCTTGTTAGTGAATCCTGTTGGACCTCTTTTTGGACAAGGAACAACTGATGGCCCCGGATTCACAGACTCTCCTTTTCCTGAGTCCGGCATGGGTAGACAAGGTATAGCACCGCACAGGCAAATGCTTACTTGATTGAGATACTTCCGCATTGCAAATCTGATACCAAAGGATAAGAAAAAAAGCTTAGAGGAATACTAACGTGTCTAGGTTATGATCTTGAAGAAGTTCCATATAAGGGAACATAAACTTCTGAAGTAATTCTGTAACTACTTGCTTATACTGCTCGCTAGGGACGTGCCATAACATCTCGACTTCATGCTCTTGGAATACTTCAGCCCATTCCTATAACGAATATCATAGGTGGGAAATGAGAAAAATAACTTACTCTAATTGGAACCCACTCAGTTAAGGGTCGGTTCAAAGACTTTCCGATAACGTGTTGTTGAAGCGGATACGTTCTCGAAAGCATGAAAAGAGAATACCATAAGCAGTTCACGGCAGTCTGAACAAACATTCGGATGTACTTCGAACTAAGCTGTTTCAAACCTCGTGAGCAACTTTACTTTCACACTCTAAAAGGAGTGTAATGATTTCGTTACACAAGTCCTTGTTCTTAACGAATATCTGAACACCCAAAAGTTTATACGGAATGACTGTGTTCTCTTACCTCGCTAGTAGTACAGAAAATACTTGATCCTAAATTTATATACCATAGAACTACAGAGTCAACGTCTCTTTGTTTTCGAACTTCCGCTAAACGTTCAAATAGAGCAGGAATATATATGTGGACTTACGGGTGAGAACGACTTTAAGCTTTCGATGAACAAGCTCTGCGAACTTTCTCCAAAACTGTGGTCGGACCTTCAATCGTTTGGTATTCAAGAAACTACCAGAAAATAACTTACAAAAACAACTTGCGCAACAATTCCAGCAGCGATTTCGGTAGCAATGGACGATTCAAACTGATTTGTGCTCATGAAGTGATAGACTTTCTCAATAAGCTCCTGAGAAGAGTTGAAGTTAAAATGGAAAAACTTATAAAAAAAACCTCGGCTATATCTGCTGAAGAGTTGGCAAGAAGCACAGATACACAACGGTCTATAACCTTTCTTAGTGCTTTTTCTTCTTCTCCTGTTTTAGTGGCTTCGTCCTGAGCACATTGAAAATTGAAGAAAATTTTAGAAAAAAAATCTCACTTTGAGACCCCCGACAAACTCCATCGTGTCTTTTGGAGCACATACAGCCAAACTTCCAACAATTTGCAAGATTCTGGAAGCGGTAAGCAATAAGGAATCTCTTGTCAAGCGCAACTCACTTGTTCATAACTTGCGAAGCTATCAATGGTAGCCTTCCTGTGAGCTCACACAATTGTTTTTCATCTTCAGTCAAATCTTTCCAGATTACAATGCAAGGTGAGGCATCAATAATAGGAACCAAATAGAAGATCATAATGAGATTCTAAAAACTTCTTAAAGAGACTGTTGAAATGCAAAAGCAACCTCCAATCCTACAGTAGTTTTCTCAACATCATTGATATCTATGGCTACGACCAAAGCTTCCATCAGATTTATCAAGTGATGACGTAGAGTAAGGAAATGTTGACTCTTAACTTGCTTTTCTCTGAATGACAAAGAAGCCGATCGGTGGTAGCGAATAGCTGACATGTCCCGAATCTAAAAGACAATAATGAGAGACATCTACAACAGTGCGCACTTTTTCGAGCTCAGCCATCCAGTTGCCATCGATAGATGCCTTCTTTCTCTCAGGTAGAGTATCAACAGCTAATTGGAAAGCTAACTCTATCAAACAATCTAAGGTTTGTATAAGACGATGAGGCTCACACACGGCATTTAGAGCTGGGTAAGTGCTGTAAACAAATTTGGTCGACAAGTTATCAGATTATTGTTTACTGTTCTAGGAACTTGGGAATGACTGCTCCAGGATCCAATGAAGCCAACATCATTACAACCTTCGTGCACATCTGAAACCAATTTTGTTCGGAAGTGCATTCCCGACAAACCTTCAGATCATCTCCGTTGTATAATGCAGTTAAGGTAGGTGGAAGCAAAACATCAACAAACTGTGAAATGTCATCATCCGACAAATAATATTTTTCAGGGCACTAAAATAATTCCATAGCAGTGTCTGTTACACGAGACTACCTCTCTCTTATGCTTCTTTATCCTCTCTTCGTAAACTCTTTTAACTAAGCGATCACACATGCACTGCATGAACAGCAGAATGATATTAGTATGATCACCAGCATTTGAAGGATGGAGAAAAGGTTCCAAGCATTTCATTAAACGGGCTAGTTGTGGTTGACATCTTAAATCTATCTTTAGATCGATTGGAAAAGAAACAAGTACGATTTTGGTCCTCCAAGCCAATTAGACACCCAGTGAGCATATGTGTCGATGTTTTGCATACCTCCACCATCTCCAATCTTGGGAAACGGAAATAACTACAAAAAGAGCAAACTTCATACCACAATCTTTCCTTTTCTCATTGACAATCCCATGCTTCTCAGGATTCTAGTGAAAGTGTCATCATATAACAACGTGAAATCCATGAAGTCAGGAGAATTGTAGTGCAAACTAAACAAATCTTACATTTAGATCTGTATGTTGCAACTCACTAGGAGAATAGCATAGGAAACTCATCCCCCCAAAAGTGTCCCATTTCAACAACGGAGTAAAATCCCCAAGTAGTTTCCCACCATAAAGCCGCGCCGAACTTATGATGTTCCTATAAATTTCAAGCATTATTTGAGCGCTAAGCACACATGCAGGTTCTACCTCAGCAGTCAAGTTCGTGGGTAGGAATATGAGACACAGGTTGGAAAAAATTTTGTTGGAGTATCGAGGTGAGATATGAACTTGCAACTTAAAAAGTCATATTATTGAGAATCAATTGTCTGCATTCAACCTTCTCCCAAATTTCTTTAGTAGCTGTTAGCGGATAAAATCTGTTCAATTTCCATGTGGCCGTACCAATTTTCTCAGGTTCAACCTCCTCAGCTTTTCCTAATAAGTTGATGAGGTGTGTGTGATATGATGATTTTAAATTTATTACCGTATTTAGCTTCATAGTAAACATTATAGACTGGCTTCCAGTCCAATTCAAGATCTTTTCTACAGAGACGAGATCCACTATAAATTTTGTGTAATGCAGACTAGAGAGCACGCAGACAAACCGAATGAGTTTTTCTAAAACCTGGGCACTCAGATGGATTACTTCATGCCACTGATTCTCTTTGGTAAAGATCAAATAGAAAAGCTTGACAAGCTTGATATGTTGAGTATATGTGAATCTTAAACCAAAATGATCGATGTATCTGAAGATAAGTGGTTAAACTCGAAATTAAAACTGAAGCAGTACTCAGCCATATAAAGCATATAGTTATATAATGCAGGAACGGGTTCGTCGATTAATATGGAACTGTTAATGCCACTTAGAAGATGAGTAAGCTGCTCATCAGCCCACTGAATCATTTTACATAAAAGACTTCATATGTCAGTCCAAATCACCTTATCCAATTCCTTGTGGTAAGGAAGAAGATTAATTTTAAATTTTGGTTTCGTGAAACCTCGACTAACATAATCTTTGATAGTAATTCTCCCATCGACGACAACTTCGGATGACTGTAAAACATTGTGATTGCTTTCATTACTTCGAAATATTCTCGAAAGAAAAAACACGACCATGTGCATAGTGAAATGACTGCGTAAATAAAACACACGGATCTAACACGTGGACGTTATCAGGTAGTAACAAACCTCAAACTCGGAAGACCCCGACATACAACTTCGGCTACTGCTCCCTTCTAATCGAGAGCACCTTCTAGCCAATTGATGTTCACCGTCGTCTTCGTGTTTTCTTTTTCTACTTATGGCAACAACAAAGTTTCCTCCCATTCATTAGTATTATCTTGAGTTAAAACTGCAAAATGACAATGGTATGTCTTGTAATAGTAAAGTAAAACAATCAAGGAACTAAAATATGCTATCGATCAAACATCTTATCATCTAAGCGCAATGTTACTTTATTTCATGAATTTAATTCTAAGAAGTGTACGTAATGATAGGATAAACGACCTTTTGCGTATTTTTCCTTTTTCAAAATGACTCATAGAACTAAAATACATCAAACCTCGCTAAATTCGTTTTGAAATAGTCTGATATGAGTCACATGTCAATACCTCTCACAAACACCGAATATAAAAGCGAGCAGAGAGGAGATTTTCCATCACTTTGTCAATTTTTCTCGTTTAGAATTCTGCTTATTGTGCTTTTATTTTGTTCTGCATTGCTGACAGTTTTTGAAACTGAAGACTTAGAGTTCTCATCTATATCCCTATGTGATTTGATGTTACGCGTTCAGTTACCATGACGATTTCATTGAATTGCTGAATATTGAATTTTTCTATTCAAGTTTTCGTCGACGAGTTGCAAACATATTGTCAACGTTTTTTTTTTGCCAACTGCCAATCCATACTACACTTACATCATACTTTCGAAATTTCAGTCATAAGCCTCTTTCTGTCTACTAAGGGGAAAAGTGTCGTAAACTTTATGAAAAGTGAAAAGAATATAATTGTTTCATATTTTATGTTTTTCGATACTTTAGATGTCCCTCTCGTTATCTAGAACAAACACAGTTCCGTGATAAAGTCAGATGTATTGTAACTATCCTTGAGTTTCATGTTATTTTTTGAAAAAAAAAATAGTTGAACATTCATAGTCAGTTTTCATGCCATCTATTGTCAAGGTACTTTCGCAAATAGAATACACATTGTGACCAACATCACAATCTGACGAACTCCTCCCATTTTTCTATCACATATAAACGTTTCTTCTCCCTGTTTTACATTTCGTTCGTATTTCACAGTCCGTCTTCTCAGATGCCTGACGCCAACATTATTTCCATTGAATGTCGTGATTCTCCAATCGAGAAGGTTGTTGTATTCAACGACAGGGCCGAAGTAAAACGTCTCATTAAAACAACCCTCAACCAGGGAACAAATGAAGTTCATATTAACGTAAGTGTCAATACAAGACGGTCAACAATTTTTTTCACATATTTAAGAATGTTTCTTTGCGCACTGTTCATGATTCCGTCCGGGTCGATGGAAGAGGTGATGCTACGATTCAAGATGTTACCACTCAAGATCTTTATGGAATCCCCGATGAACTCCAAACTCCCGAGGTAAAAACATAGTGCCAAACAAGTTCGAATTGCTCAAATCGTAAAATTCCCCTGAAGCGTATTTATTTTTCATTTTTTTCATTGCGCTACTAAGACACGGTTGTTCGTAACAGTTCTGTGGACTGATATATCTTCACCTCGAATTTCAGTTGAAAGAACTTCGTGAAGCTGTAAAAACCGAGGAGAGGAACGTTAATACCATCAAAAACCAAATCCATACTCTTACCAAGAAGAGCGAAATGTTCGAAAAGCTAACCGAGCAGATTGGAAAGGATGCTTTGCCAAAGGATATGAGCATCGCTATTGATGAAAATGTGCTCGGCAATGTGACTGCAATGCTTGATTACTACACTACCAATACATTGGCTATTACCACTGGTGAAGAGAATATGACTATTTTTTTTAAAATCAGTTTGTTCAGACAAACGAAGCTGGGAAGAGAGCTTAAGAGAAGCCAATGAGAAATTCGAGAAAGCACAGAGGGAATATGAAGCTAAGAAGCATTCCACTGATTCTGGAATGTCCAAGTAAAAACAAACTTGTTTTATTTGTTGCATTGCACATTTTGCAGGAAATTCATCGTTACCCTGGATAGTGCTACTGGTGGTGCAGTTGAACTTGATCTTGTTTATCAAGTCTACAATGCCAGCTGGCGTCCAAGTTATGATTTAAGAGTTGAAGCTGGTGCAGAAAATAAGATGAAGATCACTTACTACGGAAAAATCTCCCAGACGACTGGAGAATCATGGAACGATACCCAAATTGTAAAATATAACAGAGTTTTTCTTGTGATATGATATTCTCTTCAGATTCTTTCAACAGCTATCCCATGTTTGGGTGGCCAAATTCCAGAACTTGGAACATTGGAGGCTGTTTTGGCTTCAACTGTAGCACCACCACCGGTCGGCCGATTCTCCAACTTTGGAGGTGCCCGGACAATGATGAAGTCGTTAGTTATTCCGAATCATGATGGTTATATACTAGTTTTAGCAGATGTGCTGTTCCAGCTTCTATTCAAGCTGAATGTTTAGCTTTAGATGCTGCTCCCATCCAATATGATCTTGTGAGTATAATGTGTGAGGTGTTCTGTAACTTTTTCTAATTTGAAGGCGGAAGCAACTGAGCAGGCTCTCAGCACTGAGTTCACCATTGTAAGAAAGACGACTGTCCCAAGTGGAAATGACGAACAGAGAGTAAACACTTTTCTTCTCCATTTTTCACATACTTTTTCCGATTTTAGGTCACTATCGGAATTGTAGACACCAATCCTCAGCTTATCCATGAAAGCGTCCCATCCAAGAATTCTTCCGTGTTCCTAACAGCTTCAGCTATCAATGACTCCAAATTCGTTTTCCTTGCTGGCGAAGCCTCAGTTTATTTGAACAACTCTTTCGTCGCTAAGGTTTGTTTATTGAACTTATTTTTTAGTGAAAATTTATTTTAGACACATTTGAAAAACGTCTCTGCAAACGAACGTTTTTCTGTCTCCTTGGGAGTCGACGCAGCCATCAAGGTTGAGTACAGACCAGCTAAGAAATACCACGAGCAAGTAAGTAAATTTACTCTAGTCCCACGTTTTAATCGGATCTGCAGATTGGAATTATCAACAAATCCTCAGCTAACGCCACTGAACAAGTCATTAATGTCAAGAATACACGTAAAGACCCTATCCTTCTCACTATCAAAGAAAACTTGCCAAGATCTACTGACGAGAAAATCAAGGTGAATTACTCTCTCATGATCATAATTCAAATGCCTGTTTTCAGATTAAACTTGTATCCCCAACTGTTACTGCTCATGAGGAACAATTGACTTCCACCAACAGCATTCCTGTTGCTCCTCATGAGGGATGCCTATTGAACTCGAAGAATAACCTCGAATGGACTGTGGCTCTCGCTGGAGGACAGATTCAAGATCTCCTCATTAAGTGGACCATGGATCATCCTAAGGAAGAAAAAATTGTCTTCAGAGAGAAATACTAAAGAGGTCTTCCCTGTAAAAAATTTATATATCCTGTGATATGCAACTGTAATAAAATTTTGTATATATTCATGAAGTCTCATTCCTTCTTCTTAAGTGAACTTGCTATGTCCATTTCCAATTATGTACCTAAAACTCTTTCTCCAATAACTAGTCATATATGTCCCATCGAAATTAAAGAATATTTAATGCGGATCTCTCGGCTAGGACTATATAAGGTCATGAATGTACGATCTATTTCGGGTTCAGTGGCTATTGTACTCATTACAAGTTTCATAAGTAGTCCCTTCTAAGTTGAAAACTTATAATTACAACAGTCATTGCTTTGAGAACAGGAGCTGTCAGAGGTATGTTTCTTTCATAAGCTTATGTGTTATTCTTTGATTTCAGATGTTGTTTTGGCTTCTCTTAATTGGACATGCTCTAACCAACGACGTTGGAGCTTTTAATATGAAATGGATTGATATAGACAAGTGTCAATCTAATGAATGGGTTGCCCGAAACTACATAGTCTTTTTATGCAACTCTACGTTCGCGAGAGGCGCGGTGATAAGAAGAGAATTGAAGCCGATAGGTACTTCTTTGATTTGTCAATGTCCGATGGAACTGATTGATACTCTTCGAAAAGAAATTTATGTTTCCATCAAAAACTTCAAAAGAAATCTTGTCTTGTTCTAAACATGACCTAATGACTGTCCAAGGACGTTCTCTACCTATCTTTGCTTTGAAGTTTTTCAAGGGACTTTTCAGCATGTGATCCCACGAATGGCTTAGCTGCTCGTAATAAGGTGTCACCTGTGTTCATCGGCCAAGAATACAAAGGTGATGACGGTTTTGTTTACGAATGTAAAAAAGACATCGATGGATCTGTAACTTTCTCTGCTAAAGGTATCGCTCAGTCAAAGGATAATCGCTGTAGTCAATTGATTCAGAATGCTTTATGGAGCAAGAACGTTTTCTTCCGGGTCACTATGTCAGAGGTTCCTACAACAATATGTATCTCTGCTACAAAGAACTTGACAAAATCCTCCGAATTAGGGTATTCAGGCGTGAGTTAGATGTTGTAGATAAACACATAAAAATTATACTTTAAGCCGCTCATAATAAATGTAATTCGCTGAAGGAAAATGATCCCAATTGCAAGTTGGGAATAGTTCAGGTTTGTTATTCAACTGTTAAAGATAGATAAGCTGTTATGATACAACTGACAACTGCAGTTTTTGATTTTCACGTTCTATGTATGCTAATTATCTATAACACTCACGTGAATGACATCATTTGTCATTATTCATCACCGATCAGATACAAAGCGGTTGCATTCTTATAATGAACTCCTTTCATGATATCAAACAAAAATAACTTTTCTTTTTATAGACTGTTATGAACTCTCGATATGGTTCAGCCACTGGGTTTGCTTACAACACCAAGACCAAACTTCCGATAACAAGGCCTTTCCATCGTGCGGGAGTTAAACCTAAGGTTTCAAATAAAATTATAACACTCTGAAACTGAAATTTGAAGACTTCGGTTCTTGATCTTCGTGCCGAGCGTCCATCACTTTCACCTCAAGATTTACTGCAAGCTATTCAAGTGGGTTTAACCATCACGATTTTAATGTTCCAGAATTACAGGGAGATAAATTGCCTGAAGAGTTACTAAATAAGAAGCAGTAGGAAGCTTGATAGTTCGTAGAACTGGAGCATAACTAGTTTGAGAAGAAGTATAGTAATGAACTAAACAATACCGAACATGATTTCTTTTCCAAATATCGTTCGTTATTAGGTGTTCGGTTTATGCGTGTTTGAACGCTTCTCTTATTTATTATTTTATCAAGTGAATCAAATGAATCTCTCGCCTTAATCAACTTTCATCTCTTTTCTTTTCAATTGTTGTTCAACTTCCCCATTACATTTCAAACTTTGTGTAAGGATCAAGATATCGGAAAAACCCAGAAAGATGGATGTGCCATCGAAGAAGCTGAAGTAAGCTACACACGCACGCAGGCACAGGTCACATTGGCCGATGTATGTTCAATCTTCGGACAGATGCATAGAAAACAGAGAGGAAGAGAAGAAACGGAAAAAAGACTTTCGGCTATGAGGTAAGCGGCAAACCAGCACAGTTGGCAGAAGAACTTTAGAGTGATGTTTGTAAGAGATGAAATGAAGAAAGCTAGAAGTAAGCTCGAAAAAGATGTTAAGAGAAACAGATGCTTTTGAAAGAAAGAGATGACCTTGTCTTGGATCCATGAGGATTTTAAAGCGAGAACAAATGCAATTTAATTGTCGTTTTTTCTCAAGTATAATACGGAACAAAATAGAATTGTTTGGCATATGGTTCAGCTTAGCTCGCTTCAAACACTGGTGGTAGCATGCGGTTCTATAAAATCTTGGTTTACTTTTAAGATTCACGATCACATAAAGTAAATAATAAAACGAAAGCTGACGTGATAATATACTGTTCATATCTGCGGAAGCTATCAATTGGATTACATAGTAACGATAAAGCTCTCGAGATCTGAGAGAGAAAATAAAAAATTTATGGAATTTCATAATATTAAGAAGTTATTTTCCGTGATTCCCTACATTTGAAGCTCGTGAGATGGAAATTCCCGCTCACGCGACTCAAACGGAAATGGACGCCGTTTTGTTTCATTTTTCACTGATTGAAGCAATGAGCCGGTTGTGTCCAGCAGTCTCAATTGTCTCCATTCATATTGTTTTTGCAGACGGAGAACTCTTTCCATTTTGAACTCGCACATAATAAGAATTTGATGAAGGGAGCAGATTCACGTATACGAATCGTTAGTTTGATATGGGTTATAATCTAATTGAGTTGGAAATTTAGAAAGCATAAGCCAATGTAATTGCGAAATAATCCTTTCCAACTGGTTCTTTACTAACAACGTTTTCTTCGTCGATCATGCATTATTCAAAACTTAGGTTTCAGGGGGAAGTATTGCCATCCAAGTTTCGCATAAATTCCGGAAGCTATGAAGTTTCTGGCAAAACAAACAACCTTCTTTCAAATCAATAATCAATCCCTCAACGTGCTCAGAGGTTATAATGCTAATTTTTTTTACAGTGTGAAGACTCTCTTGCTTTTCAGACAACTAAATGCTTTCTCTACAGCTTTTTCGTAAAACTCTCCAGGCTTGTGTGGTCTCTGTGTACACATCAACAAGAGGCGGAGCTTGCCAGCTTAGTTGCTTCGGTTCAGTTAGCTCTGCAGTGCATTCGTGGTTTCGTCCAGAATACAAGCAAATTCTCTCGTTTGGTCAACATGGCTGTTCCCCCAGAAGTTGTTAAGAAGATCGAAGATGGTTACGCCAAGCTTCAGGTACTTGCTTTTCTTCCTTGAGACATCTGCAGATGTATCATATAATACCTGAATATTATCTTAAACACTCTTCATCTTTTGCTTAAGTAGTCAAGAGTTATGATTTCCGGCTATATCTTCAACTAATCAATCAGTTTCAAGAATACTTCCTGCATACGAACTCTTATAGAGGCGAGCATGAAGTCATTCAGTTGTATCTCTTCTGAAATTGACACCCATTAGGTGATTAAGTTTGTTGAACATGAGGAGTTTAGACACTATCGCAGAGTCGTGAAGAGTGACAACATTTTCAGTAAAAAATGTATGAATGCAAGTCGTTTTCAAAGAGGTTTCGAAGATATTGATTTCTGCCGAAGCTAGCTCAGCCTCATTTAGATGTTGGCCTTTTTTTTCTCCGGGGACCCTGTTTGTTGTTAGCGTTTTATAAACATCTGAGTTCCTTACATGGGCAGGAAATGCTTAGAAGTTTCGAGTCCGTATAGTCGTGTTGACGACTTTTAATATTATTCCTCAAAGATTATGACCGGAGATAGGTTGTTTTCATATGTTAGAAAAAGATCCACTGGTAGCCTTAAGTCTTAATGCCAACGTGAATTCTTTGATTTTTCCTAATCCGGTTTATCAAAAAAATGATCGCTGTCTATCATAAAAACAACATAATCTTCTGATTATAATAGTAAAATTAAGATTTTTTGCTTTCAGAGCTCTCCAGACTGCCACTCTCTCTTGAAGAAGTACCTCACCAAGGAAGTTGTTGAACAACTCAAGAACAAGAAGACCGCTCTTGGAGCTAATCTTCTCGATGTTATCCAATCAGGTATTTCAATAGATTCTCTCAAAGAAATGAAGAAAGTTGAAGAAAAAAAAATAGATTTGAATTTTGAAGGTGAAGGTAAACTTGAATGACACCTTAGTATCTCTCGCCAATGTAGCCTGTTTGCCCATCTCATGTTACTTCAACCCTTTGAAATCATCAGCTCGCTGAGATTATCTGCCGACGGTTTCTTGAAGAAAAAAAAAGATCGAAAAACTCAGAGAAAATAGAGAACTAAGGGAATGCCACTTTCTCTCAATGAAAACCTAATAGACGAGAGAATAGAAAAGTTGACCCGAGAGAACAACTGCCATGGTTTAAAGGCATTCTAGTTCTGTTTGCGAAAGAAAAAAACTTTCTCTCTCATCTTTTGACGCGATTTTTTAAAATTAATTTTGTTTTCAGGAGTTGCCAACTTGGATTCCGGAGTCGGAGTTTACGCTCCAGATGCTGAGGCTTACACCCTCTTCAAGCCACTCTTCGACCCTCTGATCGAGGTATGTTCGTTATTAAATTTTGGTAACTCTTGTTGTGATGTGATTCAAAAGAACGGATAGACGGATACGATAAGATAGAGTATTACAATATTTTTTAATTGCTTCTCGATCGCAAGTGTTTTTCTCTTGTAATCATCAAATACAAGATGTAAACAAAATCTTTATGAAGCTTCAAGTCAATAGAGAGTATTAGAACAATACTTCTGTGTATTATTTTGTTTATTAAAGGATTACCACAATGGATTCGCTCCAAGCCAGAAGCAACCAGCTACTGACCTCGGAGAGGGAAAGACTTCCCAACTCGTTGATCTTGACCCTGAAGGCAAATTCATCAACTCCACTCGCATTCGGTAAATAAGAAAAAAGGAAAATTTATGAATGCGCATTTAGCTGTGGACGTTCTCTTGCTGGATACCCATTCAACCCCTGCTTGTCCGAGGCTAACTACCTCGAGATGGAAGGTAAGCCTGGTGAAAATTGGTTCCGTGTTCATGATTTTCTTTTAAGGAAAGGTCAAGAAAATCTTCGAGAACATCAAGGATGATGGACTTCAGGGAACTTACTATCCCCTCGATGGAATGACCAAGGATGTCCAAAACCAACTCATCAAGGATCATTTCCTCTTCAAGGAGGGAGATCGGTGAGAAAAGATATATATCACGTGTCATGCCAAAGTTACTTTCAGTTTCCTCCAAGAGGCCAACGCTTGCCGTTATTGGCCCAAGGGACGTGGTATCTTCCACAACAAGGAAAAGACTTTCCTCGTCTGGTGCAATGAAGAAGATCACCTCCGTATCATCTCCATGCA